CTTCAGACTTTCCTGAGAGGGCTCCAGCACGAGTTTGTGTTTCAATCCGGGAATTCCATCGGAGGAGAATGTGAAATCATAAAGTGGGATATGGCTGTGTGTTGAACTACTGTTATTGTGACCCTGAAATAGGTGTTTCTTGATTTCTCTTGGCTGCTCCAGAACCTTGTGGTGTACTAGCAGATGGCTGGCTTCTAGGGACCATTGCTGGCTCCAAGAAAGAACTCACCACAGGAGTGAATGAAGTAGAGATCCTGGAGGAGAGGGGGTGGAAGGAGGCCACTGCTGGAATGATAGGAGCGCACCGGGAGGGCTGGATCCCCAGAGCGATTGGGAGATAGCAGGGGGTCCTGAAAAGTCCCGGTGGCCCGAATTAACCTTGCTTCTTGACCACCTGTTGGCAGACCTTTGCTGATGCTCTCATGCACTCCGAGTCCCCGAAGACTTTGGGTTATTTGTGCTGTCTCTTGAGCCGTGTCTGTAAATGTCATGAGTGGGCTCATGGAACGCAGGAGAGGCATCGGGTGACGCCTGGGTGATGCCCAGCTTGGGTTAGTCTAGATTTGTATTTCCCACTTCCATGCTACTAATCCACGGTATAAACTTGGCTGAAGTTTTCCCTGACTTTTTCGGTTGATCCCATTATCCCTTTGCGTCCTGCCAGAGGGCAGTATGTGTATAAAGGTCTTCCCAAGCCTGAGAGCTGCTAAATTATTAACAGTGGCTTGAGCTGCTTAGCAGGGTCAGACGAGAGCATTGACCTTTAGTCTGTAGGTAAGAGGCCAAGATGCAAGTGGAGAAGAGATTTTTTTCCAAGGAATGACAGTACGTGAGAAAAGGAACATGTAGACTTAGATCACGAGCTGTTTGTTCTTTTTCTGTTTTTGACCTGGAGTCTCGTTCTGTTCCCCAGGCTGGAGTGCAGTGGTATAATCTCAGCTCACTGCAACCTCTGCGTACTGGGTTCAAGTGATTTTTTTTTTTTTTTGAGACGGAGTCTCACTCTGTGGCCCAGGCTGGAGTGCAGTGGTATGATCTCGGCTCCCTGCAACCTCTGCCTCTCAGGTTCAAGCGATTCTCGTGCTTCAGCCTCCCAAGTAGCTGGGATTACAAGTGCATGCCACCACGCCTGGGTAATTTTTTGTATTTTTACTAGAGATGGGGTTTCACCATGTTGGCCAGGCTTTGAACTCCTGATCTCAGGTGATTCACCTGCCTCGGCCTCCCAAAGTGCTTGAGATTACAGGCGTGAGCCACCACACCTGGTCAGGAGCTATTCTTTTTTTAAATCAGTGTTCACTAACATAAGGGGAAAAACATCTTGTTGATGAAAAGCAACTCAATTGAGTGTTTTAGTTTGAGAGATCCCACACCTTCTGGAATAATGGCAGGGTCATGACCTCTGACGCCAGACAGATGGGACTTCCTACCCAACCCTGCAGTTCCTAGCTGTTCGGCTTTGGCACCCTGACCTCTCTGAGGCTGTCACCTCATCAGAAATGAAAACCATTGGCTGATCTCAGATCCTTTTGAGGATTACATTAGATATAATTTATGAAAGCTAATACCTCTTAGGCACTTAATAAAGACAGTTTCCCTTCCTTCTTTCTCTTCTGCTTTTGAAAGTTAACATTTGGGAGTACTATAAATAAAGCCAGTGAGACGGTGTATTTTGGTGTGGAATTCTGGCCGGTTAAAGGAGCAGGGGAAGAAGGGGGATCCAGTCAGAAGCGGCAGGTTCACCAACTCCATGTGGCTCCGGCAGGCTTGGAAGGTTGCAGGCACAAACAAAACGGGCGGTAGAAAACCTCTACGTTCAAAAAAGGAAAAGGCTTACAAAAAACATTGGCGGAGTTTGTTGGCCAAACATTTCAGGCGCCGTCTGAAAACGTGGGAGCCCAGGAATTTGGGAAATACTACCCTTTCTTCATTTTCAGTGGTAGAAACCCCGAACTTCCTGCTCTGAAAAGTGGGGAGGCCATTAGGGTTTTGTTTTTTTTTTAAAAAATTTTTGACCAAGGAAAGTGTAGTTTCTTTCCCTGGGTTGATGCTGCCATCTCACGTCTCTACGTGGCGTTGCGGCTTCGCCTCTGGATGCTCTCAGCCCGGTGAAATTGAACCGAGAGTTGGAGGTGCTCCATTTTAGCCTGAGACTTCAAAGACGAAGGTGTGTAGGTGACAGTGTTTTAAAAACCAATCTAGGACCCGCCTGACCAACATGGAGAAACCCTGTCTCTACCAAAAATACAAACAATTAGCTGGAAGTGGTGGTGGGCCCCTGTAATCCTAGCTACACGGGAGGCTGAGGCAGGAGAGTTGCTTGAACCTGGGAGGCAGAGGTTGCAGTGAGCCAAGATCGCACTCTTGCACTCCAGCCTGGGCAACAAGCAAACCTCTGTCCCAAAAAAATAAAGCCAGTTTAGGCCAGGCACGGTGGCTCATGCCTTGGGAGGCCAAGGCAGGTGGATGGCCTGAGCTCAGGAGTTCCCGAGACCACCCTGGGCAACGTGATGAAACTCCGTCTCTACTAAAGTACAAAAAATTAGCCAGGTGTGGTGACGCATGCCTGTAGTCCCAGCTACTCCGGAGGCTGAGGCAGGAGAATGGCTGGAACACAGAGGCAGAGATTGCAGTGAGCCTAGTGCACGCCGGTGCACTCCAGCCTGGGCAACAGAGTGAGACACCATCTCAGAGAAACCCCCCAAACAAAACAAAACAAAAATTTAGCTTAGGCATACATGTTTTTTCTTTATAGTGTTAAAGAATCCACTCTTTACGTTTTTTTCTCCCTTTTTGTTATGTTGAAGCTTTCAGAGACAGAGCGTTATTTTTAATTAATTTTTTTGAGATGGAGTCTCACTCTGTCACCAGGCTGGAGTGCAGTGGCGCCGCCTTGGCTCACTGCAACCTCCGCCTTCGGGGTTCAAGCGATTCTCCTGCCTCAGCCTCCTGAGTAGCTGGGACTACAGGCACATGCCACCACGCCCAGGTAATTTTGTATTTTTAGTAGAGACAGGGTTTCACCATGTTGGCCAGGATAGTCTCAGTCTCTTGACCTTGTCATCTGCCCGCCTTGGCCTCCCAAAGTGCTGGGATTACAGGCATGAGCCATCACATCCAGCCGAGAGTGTTATTGGATGTAGTTACCAGACACCTAACTAGCAATTTCTTTCTGTGTGCAGTGACTCCAGCCTTTTGCTTATATTAATATTTTCTTTGCTTTCTGGGAAATTCACGGTAGAGATACTATACCAGTAGATTCTAGCTCTTGAGGTTGTGAGTAAAATGCTCATGAAAACCAGCATTTTGCCCTTTACTATTTGCATGTATGTTATTATCCTTTATAGTTCTTTTGCCATTTCTGTTTTGTTATTGTGGAGATGTTTGCAAACATACCTTGCTGGAATGGTTTGGAAAGAGGCCAGGTTTTGGGAAGTGTGGAGATGGTGTGGTACCCGTAGAAAGAGACTGGGGGGCCTCTGGACAAGGATGAGAAGGAGAGGCTTGTGGACCTGTTCAAAGCTAGCTCGAGCGAAGGGCCGTGCCCACAGATGTCGTCTTGATGTGAGTCTGGCCAGGGGAGTGGGGTGGGAGGGACACACGGAGTGGAACGAGCCCTCTAGGCGCTGGGGGCGGGGCAGTCAGCATGGTTGCTGAGGTCTCTGGAAACCCTGGTGTTCTGTGCCTGCTGTGACCCCACAGCCCCTAGGATGCACTTTGCACATACCCACTCCTCAGCTGAATCCTAACTGAAAAAGCGAATGGGAGGGAGCAGAGGACTGGAACAGCACAGATAGGAACTGAGGAGCTGCACGTGCTCTGCAGGAGGAGGGCCACCTGCGTTTGCAAAGCGCAGGGTCTCCCTCGTCCCCTTCTCCCAGCAGTGTCAGGCCTGGGAGCACTGCAGGTCAGCTGGTCGCTTGCTAGGGACCCACTTCGGGCCTGCTCAGATTCTCACACCAACTGCCTTTGCCACCTGAACAAGTCACGTTCCACGTTAGTTTCTTCAAGTGTAAGATGAGAGGAGCCTGGTTTCTTTCTTTCTTTTTTTTTTTTTTTTAAGTCAGAGTCTCATTCTGTTGCCTAGGCTGGAGTGCAGTGGTATAATTTCGGCTCACTGCAGCCTCTACCTCCTGGGTTCAAACGATTCTCCTACGCATCCTGAGTAGCTGGGACTATGCCAGCATGCCTGGCTAATTTTGTATTTTTAGTAGAGACAGGGTTTTACCATATTGGCCAGGTTGGTCTTGAACTCCTGACCTCAAGTGATCCACCTACCTCACTCTCCCAGAGTGCTGGGATTACAGGTGTGGGCCACCACACTCGGCCAAGCTTGGTAAGTTTCTGTGGCTCTTTGCAGCTTTGAGCCAGCTGAGCTTGAGAATCTATGTGTATTGGACAGACGTCCTCAAGCCTTGACCCAGCAGTATTGTTTCCCAGAAGTTGCCCTACGGAAGCCATGCTTGATGTGTGTGTGCTGACGTTTAGCTCACGTGCTCACTGCAGGCAGAGAAGTTTAGACAGTGGAGCATTGTGTACAGCATTTGGGTACAGTAAATACTAAGACATTAGAATAGGAATGACGCCCCACCTAGGGTAATGCTGTGTGACTTCTAAATGTATTTTTGTAAAATAATAATGATACAGTAAAACTCACACAGTTAAGTAAAAATAGTTTACCAAACGACGGTCCCATTTTTCCAGAAATGAAAGTGTAAATGCACGCACAGAAGGAAGCCTGGTCTGCTGTCCGGGAAGAGTGGGCCTCCTGGGACGCAGTTCCTGAGTGGTTTTTCTGTGTGCACATCGGTATTTTCTGATTGTCCTACCAGGAACGGTATTACCTTTGTGAAAAGGAAGGCTGGTAGAAGTTGCCTTTAAAGGGCTCACTCAGTCTCGCTCACCCTCCCTGGCTCCTGCTGTGTGGGACTTCCTCCTGAAAGCTTCCTGATGCCCCCAGGTGACGGGCAGAGGCCTCAATGTCCCCTTTGCCTCCGCAGGAGAGGCAGCAGCATGGCGAGCGTCCTGTCCCGGCGCCTTGGAAAGCGATCCCTTCTGGGAGCCCGGGTATTGGGGCCCAGTGCCTCGGAGGGGCCCTCGGCCGCCCCACCCTCGGAGCCGCTGCTAGAGGGGGCCGCTCCCCAGCCTTTCATCGCATCCGATGACACCCCCTGCCAGGAGCAGCCCAAGGAAGCCCTCAAGGCTCCCAGCACCTCAGGCCTTCAGCAGGTGGCCTTTCAGCCTGGGCAGAAGGTAGGTTGATCCCAGTGGGGGGGACGGCTGTCCCATCTCGCGAGTCTTGGGGTGGCGGCTGGGGTACCCTAGTGACAGGCCGGAAACTTCGGGCACCGTTTTGAGTACAGGCCTTTTCCCTCCAGCCACAGGGTGCCTGGGCGGCAGACCACCCCAGAGAATGTGGCCCTGTTAGCAGACCTAGGGCTCCTCTGCCACCATGTTGTCTCTAGAAGGTGGCAAGACCTGGCATCTGACGCCCTGGGCTTTGTCCTGCTCAGAACCTCAGTTTGAAGGCTGGCCATAGCTCTGTTTATCTTCATCTGCCTCAATTTGCAACTTGACCAAACGAACAAAAGCATCTCAGGCTTATGGGAGTTGGAGAACGTTGCATCTCTGAATTCTCTTTAGACGCTTTGAAGAGTCGGAGATGTTTGCGTAGTTGGATTCGATGGTGGTTTCCTTGTCCGGCTTCCCTGCCCCTGTGCCAGGGTCCTGGGTCTGGTGCTACCACGAGGTCCAGGTGCCTGGGGTTCTCTTCCGTTGCCCTCCGAAGGCTTCCTAAATAAAGACTCTACCTCTGTCTTTTTGCCAGCCCTGTGGCCGCCAGGCCTCTCTGTCTGTGAGGGAAGGTAGCCTGCCAACTTCCAGGTCCCCCTGGCGAGAGGTCGGCCTGCATCTGCACCCCTGCCACCTTGTCCCCAGGTGGACTCTGCACTCCCTGAGTGCAGGATAATGAGCAATTCAGAGTGGCAGCTGGGCACCAGCAGACAGGCAGTGCATCCGAGGCAGGGAAGGCAGGAGGATGAGCACAGATTCCAGATTCAGAGAAAGTCCCGGAAACTGACATATTTGCCGTCTGCCAGTCTAGAGAATTGCTACGGACCTGTCTTGGGAGGAATCGGGCCAGTGTGGATGCTCAGGTGGGAAGCAGGGACCTGGGAGCATCTGCTGGAATAAAAGATGAGTGAGGCAGAGAAGATAGTTCGCGGCAGGCCGATCCTGGCTCCTGGGACTTGGGGTGCGTGAGAACTTCACAGCGAGACACAGCCAGGGCTGACCACCAACTGCTGTCCCTCTTCCCGCAGGTTTATGTGTGGTACGGGGGTCAAGAGTGCCCGGGACTGGTGGAGCAGCACAGCTGGACGGAGGGTCAGGTGACCGTCTGGCTGCTGGAGCAGAAGCTGCAGGTCTGCTGCAGGGCGGAGGAGGTGTGGCTTGCGGAGCTGCCTGGCCCTTGTCCCCAGGCACCACCCCTGGAGCCTGGACCCCAGGCCCTGGCATACAGGCCCGTCTCCAGGAACATCGATGTCCCAAAGAGGTTTGTGTGGGAGAAGAAACTGGGTTTCAAAAGTTGCGTGGGTGGTGAGGTGTGAGGGTGTGGGTGCCTTGTGGTGGGGAAGAAATGTGGTGTCCTTGGTATCTGGGTGCCAATATACTGGGACAGATGGGACACAGAAAAGGGGCATCTTTTTAAGAAAGCCAGAGTGGCATCTTTTCTTTTTTCTTTTTCTTTTCAAGACACAGTCTCACTCTGTCACCCAGGCTGGAATGCAGTGGCATGACGTGGGCCCACTGTAACCTCCACTTCCTGGGTTCAAGCGATTCTCCCACCGTAGCCTCCCGAGTAACTGGGATTACAGGTGTCCACCACCATGCCTGGCTAATTTTTGTATTTTTTGGTAGAGACGGGGTTTCACCATGTTGGCCAGGCTGGTCTCGAACTCCTGACCTCTGGTGATCCATCCATCTCAGTCTCCCAGACTGTTGGGATTACAGGTGAGAGCCACTGTGCTTGGCCCAGAGTGTCATCTTTCCCATAACCCTCTTATGGGCGATGTATCTTTTGTTGGGCAGAAGTCTATTTTTTCCCCTTCCATGCTTAAACTAAATTAGTTCATAGTTTATGATAAGAGATGACAGGGAAGAAATGGCTTAAATCAGGCATCAACAAATGTGTTTTGAATGGGCCAGATAGTAAATAATTTAGGCTTCATGGACTAAACAGTCTCTGTCTCCGCTGCTCAGCTCTGCTGTGATGTCCAAACAGCCAGGGTGACGCAGAAACAAATAGTCATGGCTGTCCTCCAATGAAACCTCATTTGTGGACCCTCACATTTCAGTTTTATGTACTTCTCATGTGTCACATGTCAAGAAATAGTATTCCTTCTAAAAAAAAAAAAAAGAAAGAAATAGTATTCCTTCTTTTGATTTTTAAAACCCTTTAGGCCAAGTGCAATGGCTCCACCTGTAACTCCACCACTTTGGGAGGATTGCTTGAGTCCAGGAGTTTGAGACCAGCCTGGGCAACATAGCAAGACTTTGATTCTACAAAAAATATAAAAAATTAGTCAGGTGCGGTGGCTTTTGCCTGTAGCCCCAGCTACTTAGGAGGCTGAGGCAGGAGGATCCCTTGAGCCCAGGTGGTTGAGGCTGCAGTGAGCAGTGATGGTGCCACTGTACTCTAGCCTGGGAGACAGAGCAAGACTCTGCTCTAAAAACAAAAACAAAACAAAATAAAACAAGCCGAGTGTGGTGGCTCATACCTGTATTCCCAACCTTTTGAGAGACTGAGGTGGGCAGATCACTTGAGGTCAGGAGTTCGAGATCAGCCTGCCAACATGATGAAATACTGTCTCTACTGAAAATACAAAAATTAGCTGGGCGTGGTGGCACATGCCTGTAATCCCAGCTACTTGGGAGGCTGAAGTACAAGAATCACTTGAAACCAACCTGGGCGACAGTGTGAGACTCCATATCAAAAGAAACAAACAAAACACAGAACCAAAGCGTTTAAAAGTGTAAAACCATCCTTAGCCTGAAACCGTACAGAAACAAGCAGCAGACTACACAGCCCGCAGTATGCTACCCCCAGCTGAGACATTCCAAACCATTGGTGTTGAATGAAGAATGTATTTTGCTTTAGATTTTTATGACTTTTTTCTAAGAATAGATATCCTGATTTCTATGTGATATGCTCTATGTACATTGATATTTTAAGATTTTAAAAGAAAATCTGCCACCTGAAAATGTCTTATATATAAGATGTACGAGCATTCACGCCCTATCCCACCTCTCTTTCTGTGTTGTCTGTGAGTGCTACAGAACACAGCAGACCCAGTATTTTGAAGCCAGATCAGAGTAGCGGTATTTGCGATTGTGTATCCAGTGGAATGCAGGCAAAGAATTTGCTTTTCTGTTCTGTGGAAATGAAAATTGAAAGGTCATACAAAAATAGAAATGCTAATATATTTAATGTATTAATAGTCTCTAATAGTTCATGTATGAATAGGCTTGGTTTAGTTGCCTCACAACCAAGTCATAGATTTTAGTGGACCTCAATTGTGAGGAATAAATTAAGGTAGCCCTTTGAAACAGACCACTTAGAAGTTTATTTCAGACTAACTTTTCCTAATACTTCAGCATTAACTTCTAGACAGCTCTAATTTTGCTTCCAAAAATGTAGTGATAAATAGATTTTTTTTAAAATTACATGTAACATTTTGTAGAACTCTGCTGTATAAAAGCACGGACATTTGCACTGGGAGATTTATTTTACTTTATGTTATTTTTTGAGATGGAGTCTTGTTCTGTCGCCCAGGCTGGAGTGCAGTGGCGTCATCTTGGCCCACTGCACCCCCCATCCCCTGGGTTCAAGCGATTCTTCTGCGTCAGCCTCCCTGGTAGGTGGTACTACAGGTGTGCACCACCATGCCCAGCTAATTTTTTTGTATTCTTAGTAGGGATGGGTTTTCACCGTATTAGCCAGGCTGGTCTTGATCTCCTGACCTCAGGATCCGCCTGCCTCGGCCTCCCAAAGTGCTGGGGTTACAGGCATGAGCTACCGCGCCCAGCCAGGAGATTGATGTTAGTGCTTCTGGTTTATTTGCACATTGGCTTGGGTAGTAGGTTCTCTTGATGTGCAAAAGCTGTCAGAATGCTTTACCATTTTTCTTGGTGGGGTGGGAGAAGGTGGTTAGTTTATAGTTGTTTCCTCTTAACTTTAAATGTGGGTCAAGGAAGGGAGGTAATTGTTGTGCTCTTGAACTGCAGTGGGCGTCTTTTGTCCCCGTGTTTATTTCGTGTTGAGCCTACTCTTTCCCCTAAATAAAGTTCTCCTTTATAAGCTGCAGAGTCAGGCAGCAAACTCATGGGAGAATGGGGCTGTCTCAGGGTGTCACCGTGGGATGGGACCCGCCAGCTTATACCGGGGCTGCCTGATGTTATAAGCATCACTCAGAATGGGTACTGCTCAGGAAGAAGGGGAGACCTCCGTGTTTCACTTAGTTCATATGATCTGAGCACCCACTGGCTGACTGGAGTCAGGGGGACTTGGAGGGGACAGTCCAGAAGGGTAAGATGATCATGTGAAACTGGCCAGAGCGGTGTCTCGTTGTGCGGGGAGTATGGGCCCGCCGTTCCAGGAAGTAACCTTTCCCACTCCTGCGTGTGAATCCAGGAAGTCGGACGCAGTGGAAATGGATGAGATGATGGCGGCCATGGTGCTGACGTCCCTGTCCTGCAGCCCTGTTGTGCAGAGTCCTCCCAGAGCTGAGGCCAACTTCTCTGGTGAGCAAGCGGGGCGCGGCTGGGTTCTGGGCATGGCGGAGACCACGATAGACCTTCTCTGTGTACAGCAGCTAGATGCCTGCGTCACTGGCCTGGCAGTAGGATTTCCAGGGACTCCTCCCCTTGGCACCTCCCGCCCGCTGCATGCCATGGAATTAGACGCTTCCGTCCTTTTTCCTCAGTTTCCTCATCTGGGGAGGAGCGTCCTGGTGCATTGTGAAGATGATTGAGCATGGGACTGAGCCACAGTGGCCAGCAGAGTAAGTTCTTCCATGGGAGTGACTGAGCCCAGCCTGTCAGTGGGGCCTGAATGAGGCCGATAGAGGAATATTTAGTTGACAAGTCGAAATGTGCTAAATGGTCTCATAGTGGCCTCAGAAAATTCTTGCCCTCATTCCAAGTGCCCAGTTCAGCCTCACAAATTAGCGTGGGCCTATGGGACAGGGACCTGAAATGAATGCGCTAATGTCTAATGTTTAAGTCTAACTGCTTAATAAAAACTAGTGGTTTGACTTCAAGGCAAATTATTAATTAAAACAAAATTTCTATAATTGTAACCCCAAAATACTTTCTCAGTAATATGAGGGAAAAAGGGTTGCTGGGCGTTTGTCATTAGTTTGGCAAGCCTGCTAGTGAACCTGAAGTTTTTTGGGAAATTCACGGCAGCGCTGGCCTACCTTACTCCCAGAGAAGAACTTTTCATTGGTGGACACCTAACTGAATTGCAAGCTACTTAAAAGCTTACAGGAAAATGTGGAATCGGAGCACATGGCAGGAGGAAAGTGGCCTTCGTAAATATCCCTTATAAGGAGTCTTCCAAAACAGAAATTAAACATAAAGGAGAGAGAAAACATAGTGGCTTCCTTGACTCAAGGTTGACCCTCAGTGAGGAGGCTGCTGAAGAACGTCATTGTACTACGGGGACGCCTAGCTGTGAAGCGTAGTATCGCATGCGTGCTCTATTAGCATAAGCAAGATTGGGAAGAGGAAAGGCGTTAATTTCTGTGTTCTCAGGAGAGTTTAGGAGATGTGGGTGGTCGGGTGGAAAGATCCAGGAAAGTGTCCTAAAGGGAAAGAAAAGAAAATTGTTGACTCCAGCTCCCATTAGGAGGGTATGTATAATACATGCATACACACGTGCACGTCAGCATGGAAGCACCTCACTGAATGCATGCCGTCATCCTGATTTTAAGTCCCTTCATAAAAAAAAAAAAAAATAGTCGCCGGGCGCGGTGACTCAAGCCTGTAATCCCAGCACTTTGGGAGGCTGAGGCGGGTGGATCACGAGGTCGAGAGATCGAGACCATCCTGGTCAACATGGTGAAACCCCGTCTCTACTAAAAATACAAAAATTAGCTGGGCATGGTGGCGCGTGCCTGTAATCCCAGCTACTCGGGAGGCTGAGGCAGGAGAATTGCCTGAACCCAGGAGGCGGAGGTTGCGGTGAGCCGAGATCGCGCCATGGCACTCCAGCCTGGGCAACGAGAGCGAAACTCCGTCTCAAAAAAAAAAAAAAAAAAAGTCTATTAAAGATTTTTTTGGATTACAGTATATTTTCGATCTCACAGCTGAAGTCAGTGGAAATATAAGGCTTCCTTGGCCTAATTATCTTGAAGTGTTCTGCGAAGTGTGGTCTATACAGCCAGCAAAACCTTAACTAAGAGGGTCGTGGATACAGTTTGCACAGAAACTTTCTGTTCCCGTTGGTTTCTGTGTGGTCAGGGCGACGTGTGTCTGTGCATGTCTGTGTGTAGAAAACAGAGGATTATAAATATTTCTCAAAGGTCCGCTTGTAAGCACTCAGTGCTGCGCACTTGTAGAGGGGCACTTTGTTTTCATGGTGTAGAATGTGTGTTTATTGCCTGAGTCCTAGAAGAACGTGTGATCAAAGATGGAGTCACTTACAACTTACACAGTAACTTACATAGATAACTTTTGGCTTGGTGTTACATTTTGCTTCCTTTGTGTGCCAATCAAAATCTGCCACGCAGATTTCGTGCATTTGAGCCGTTGTGGGTGGTTCCTGTAGGGAAGGGCTGCCGCATTTGTAGGGGGTGCCCGCTGCGTGACCGCAGAGTCCTGACCATCCTGCATGTAGCAATGGAGGATTCCGTTCTCTGCCCTTCTCTCGATAGTTTTCATATCAGTGGATATGCGTGGGCCTTTTGCGTGTTGGCCTGTTAGATGATTCTTGTGTTCTGCCCTGAATGTGTGCCCTTCTCTAAGCACACGTGCAGACGCAGGAACCTCTTGGTTCCCAGGAAGGGACGGTGATAGCTGTGAGACAGACAGCGGTACGTGGGGTGGGGAGGGGAGAGTTCTTCCTCCATCTCCTTCTTTTTGGGTGGGCTTCTTCTGGGATGTGAGATGGAAGGAGAGCCTGGACTGGAAACGTGGGCAGATGGGAGCCTGTGCCGGGCAGATCCCTGTTTAGCACTGCAGCAGTCAGGACTGTGAGCGGGAGGAGAGAAGGGCAGTAGGATCTTATCCTGGCCCCAAGCGATGTGCCGGTAGATCTTGGCATCCAGGACTAGGAGGCTCTGTGGAACGCCCCTGTTGGGAGTTGGGGCTTTTGAGGACAGGTCGCTTCCCCCCGACCTTGGTATTTGCACATATCATAATTTCAGATTCTCCTCTGTTATCAATTCACCTGCTGTTTGGCCTAGGAGTGAGAGTGTGGGTTGGGCCTGCACAGCCCGCAGACGTGCCATTTATAAATGGAAGATTCTCTATGTCTGCTGATATCCTTCCTCTGGCACAGAGGCATTCAGGTGCCCGGGAGCTGCTTCGGGGCCATGTCAGGCCCGAAAGCCCCCTGCCACCTTGCGGTGATCAGAATCGCTCGTGGAGCCTGTCTTTCCTCCTCCAAACGTGTCCCCTCTTGATTAAAGCGGGTTCCGCCTGGGCCGCAGCCAGGACTGGGAAACGTTGCACCCTCCAGAGGGTTGCCAAGGCTGAGTCCTTTGTTCCATTCACGGGTTTTCACGGCCTGGCCTGGGTTTAGATGATTGAAAAGCATTTTTCAGGAAAGCTGGTCAAGAAGCCCTTTAAGTTGGCTTCAGCTGTAGGAAAATGCTCCAGCTGTAGGAAAATACCCAACACTCTGGGTGTGCCCATTCTCAACCAGGCCTGGGGGCTGCAGAGGCTTTGCCTCTCCCCACATCCCCCTTTTAGTTAATGTATCAAGTGAGAAACAGGCAGCACTTTGGGAGGCTGAGGCAGGAGGATCACTTGAGGACAGGAGTTGGAGACCGGCCAGGGCAGCAGAGCAAGACGCCCATCTCCAAAAAGAAATTCGTTTAAAAAGAGAGAAAGACGTTTTAATTAGGTTCTCTTTGCATGAATCCCGTACAAAGTGAACTCGCAGTGTGTGTCTGCTGGTCAGTGATGACCAGGTGGCTGTAGGAGGAAGTGTCTGAAGGGCAGAGCAGTTCTACCAGGAGAAATTGCTGCTGTGAGGAACCCCTCTCCATGTTTACTGAAGCTCACAGCGAGAATTTGCCCGGGGACAAGCCCGTGAGTGTCCTCTCACCTTCTCTTCGTCTGGCCAGCTTCCCGCACGGCCTGCGACCCGTGGAAGGAGAGCGGTGACGTCTCAGACAGCGGCAGCAGCACCACCAGCGGTCACTGGAGCGGGAGCAGTGGCGTCTCCACCCCCTCGCCCCCCCACCCTCAGGCCAGCCCCAAGTATTTGGGGGATGCCTTTGGTTCTCCCCAAACTGATAATGGCTTTGAGACGGATCCTGACCCTTTCCTGTTGGACGAACCAGCTCCACGAAAAAGAAAGGTATGTGATCGCTGTGTGAGTGTGAGCCCAGGCCAGAGCGGACGGTGTCTGTGTGGGGACAGCCAGCCGTGGAGGGGAGGTGACCCTGCAGGCCCTAGGTAGTCTTGGGTTTGCTCCCCTTTCAGATTTATTTTTTTGAGACGGAGTCTTGCTCTATCACCCAGGCTGGAGTGCAGTGGCCTCGGCTTATTGCATCCTCCGCCTCCCGGGTTCAAGGAGTTCTCCTGCCTCAGCTTCCTGAGTAGCTGGGATTATAGGCACGCACCATCATGCCCAGATAATTTTTGTATTTTTAGTAGAAACCATGTTGGTCAGGCTGGTCTTGAACTTCTGACTTGGTGATCCACCTGCTTCCACCTCCCAAAGTGTTGGGATTAGAGAGTGAGCCACCACGCCCGGCCCCATTTCGATTTTCTGTTGCTGCTTCTGTTACCTGGTGATATTCCCAGGATTCTCCTCCTCCTATTTAAAGCCTCTCCTGTTTTAGCCTCCACCCCGATCCCTGCCTTCTTTCCTGTGTGCCTGCAGACGCCTGCGTGGGAGCGACCTCCAGTGGGGTCTCAGCCACAGCATCAAGCACCACTGTTGGCCGCTAGGACCATCTCTGAGGTTGGGGCTTTCTGGCCCCTGGCTGGAAGTTTCTCTGGTCCCAGAGAACCTCCTTCCTGGAGGTTTTTGTTGAGTCGGGCTGGAACAGCAGCCAGTTTGAGTTTTCACTGGGTAAGGGTAAGTGAGAGCTAAGGAGAAAGGCACACCCACTCACCCGGTCTTCCTTTCCCCTAGAACTCTGTGAAGGTGATGTACAAGTGCCTGTGGCCAAACTGTGGCAAAGTGCTGCGCTCCATCGTGGGCATCAAAAGACACGTGAAAGCCCTCCACCTGGGGTAGGTGCGAGCCCGGGGCCTCCAGCTAGCGTGGCATGCGGGGTTCCTTCACCTTGCTGGATCCCTATAACCCATGGCCCACAGTGCTTTCAGGAACATGGCTTGCTGGGAGAACACCCCCTGGGGTCTCTTCCCGGCCCCCTGGGAAAGACATCCTGGTGAGTGTTGTTGCTCTTGACGGGAAGGGAGCTCTGGCCGTCTCAGGGATGTCTTCTTGCCTTGCTGCAGGAAGCCAGATGTTTTAGTTCTGGGTAGAAACAGGGTCATGTGGTTCAGTTGCTGGTGAGACCTCGTTTCCAAGACGTTTAGTGGCGGAGGACTGCACCACCAAGTCTTGCTCGGGAGAGGGTCTCTGCGAGCCCCGCCCTGGGGCCTCGGCTGGGTTCTCTGCAGAGCGAGCTTGCAGGCTGCAGTGGTAGGAGCTGACTCACAGCCCTGGGGGAGAAAGCGTGACTGCAGGCAGGTGGGGCCCACAGAGGGCTCATGGTCGTGCTCAGCGTGGGATGCCTCCTGCCAGAGGAGAGGTTGGCACATGTTCTGGGAGAGGATGAACTGTAGGTGCCAGGAAAAATAATTCCCCTTGATGTGCAGCACATAATCCTAGTGACACCTGTCAGGACCGGGGCTCCTGGGTGTTCTCTCGGGTTCTGTCCCTGGCTTACTGGGTGGCCTCAAGCAATCACTTCCCTCCCCACCATGGTCCCTGCCGGGGCTGAAGGGGGCAGCGCGGCCCTGATAGTGCCGCCTCTCCCTCCCACACAGGGACACAGTGGACTCTGACCAGTTCAAGCGGGAGGAGGATTTCTACTACACCGAGGTGCAGATGAAGGAGGAATCTGCTGCTGCTGCTGCTGCTGCTGCTGCTGCTGCTGCTGCGGGCCCGCCCGTCCCTGGGACTCCCACCGCCGAGCCAGCTCCCACCTCCAGCATGACAGGCCTGCCCCCATCCGCTCTTCCACCACCTCTGCACAAAGCCCAGTCCTCCCGCCCAGAACACCCTGGCCCGGAGTCCTCCCTGCCCTCGGGGGCTCTCAGCAAGTCAGCTCCTGGGTCCTTCTGGCACATTCAGGCTGACCATGCATACCAGGTATGGGTCGGGGTGCGCTGGAGGCTCAGGCTGGAAGCTGACTCATCACGGGCCAGCCTGATCACAGGCCACCGACCACCCTGATGGAAGGCTGAGCCCTTTGCCTAAATTGCTAATCTCTGCAAAGAAACAAAAGGAAACTGATTTCACTGCTCCAGAAGTGTGGGAATTCCTGGAGTTATACATCAGCAACCCTCATGAGTGGTTACTAGAAATCTAGCTGAATCCCTGCGTAACTGGGGGATGGATTTGGGTGGGAGAATTGTCACACCTCTGCTTATGAGAGAGGACGGAGTAGGGCTTCCTGCAGTGATGTCTGGGTCCTAGAACTGTGTTCCGTGGACAAACAGTCCAGCACACACGTTTTGAATACTCACTACAGGCCGAGAATTGGACTAAGTAAGCTTTTCAGATTTAGCCCCTGCCCTTGTGGAGGGCGTGGTTCGTATCTAGAGAGAGAGGCATGTGTAACTATGGTTAATTATAATAACTGGTCAAAGTACTAATTACTAGAGGCATGAGGTGTTACGGATACCAGAGAGACCAACCTCTTAAGCCCGTGTGAATGAGAAACCACAGAGGTGACATTTAGCACGCTCTTTGCTGCACGTAGCAGATACTCAAGGAATATGCAGCCTACTCTGTGCTGGTGTTTCTTAAAACCATTTTGTGCCTATTTTATCAATCTCTGGGCCAGTTTTCAAATTAGTTATTAAAAGGTATTGCTTCCAATGAGAAAGCCTTTACGAAATGAGCCAGCTCTCCTTGTTAGAAGAGTGGCCACTTAGCAACTTCATGTTTGGCCCGCTTCCAGCCCTAGCTGACCCGTGGGGCCCAGACACATGGCTGGCGTTTTCACAAATAACCCTGACCCTAAATACCCAAGAGCAGGCCGCTACTTTCCAGCCGTTGCTGGGGGATCCCGTATCTTATCCCAGCCCTGCCCCTAGACACAGAAGGCTTGGGGCCTCTTTTGGCACCTGCCATGGCATGTTCCTGGTAGGCGATCCGGTTGAGAAGTTAAATCTTCTGCAGTGATTAACTCATGAGGCTGGCACGTAGACTAGCTCAGAGGGAAGGGTTCCAGGATGAGATTGGCGCCTCACAGTAAGGAGGCTACTTCAAAGCGTTGGGTGCTCAAGTGTTGCCCTTGGGAAAGCCAAGTGTGTCCCAGAACTTTCTGATCATTGCACGTATGCAGAGCTGTGCTTTCTGCTGCTGCCCTGAGGCTGTGGGGATTGTGAGCAGACTCCGAATGCTTCCTGAGCTAGAATCCTGGCTGACGCCCTTGTCTTCCACAGGCTCTGCCGTCCTTCCAGATCCCCGTCTCGCCCCACATCTACACCAGCGTCAGCTGGGCTGCTGCCCCTTCCGCTGCCTGCTCCCTCTCTCCGGTGAGTGTGCCGGCAGCTCGGCTGGGGCCCGGTATGGCTGAGGGCTGTCCCACACATCCCAGGGCTGGAGGCCCTCTCTCGGGTGGCCACAGGTCAGTGTGGCCATCTTGCCTTCAGCCCCCAAACGTGTTGAAGATCTTTGTGCCACTACCTACCCTGAACTCCCCATTTGGCCACAGCCCCTCGAGGAGGTGGAAGGAGGTGCTTGTAGAGGATGCCCAGAGCAAGCAGGTTTCTTGCCAAGAAAATCAGGCGAGACTGGGGTCAGCGTCGGTGCCCATCAGCCCCGAGTGCCCGTGGGTGTTTTAGGATTTTCACCCTGAGAGGAGAGGAAGGGGGAGAATGTGGTGGCCACATGGGATGGGTCAGAAATGTCAAGGCCATGGGGGACAAGGGCCGTAGGTGGACCCCAAACTCAGATCAGCGGGAAGTCGTTCTGAACTCTGCCTAGCAGGCACTGGTTTTGAGTTTATCCTGCAGGGCGGTGTCATACTGTAAATCACAATGCCAGTGTGCCACTGAGGCAGTTCGAGGCTTCCAGGCCTGGCAGCGTCGTCCAGGTCCCCTACAGGGAGAACCTCAGAGGGGGCCAGGTCCGGTGGCTCCCCTGTCCTTGCCCTGGGCTGGGTCCTGACTTGACATGAAGGCCTGCTCCTTCCTCACTCTCCTGCCAAGAGTTCCCCTCTGCTGGAGTGTCCTCCCTGAGAAGGCACGAGGCCTCCTGCAGCAGAAGGAGCTGGGGACATGTGGCTGCCTGTCTTTTTCCTGACTGTCCCATGCTCACAACCCCTCTCTCCATGGCCAGGTCCGGAGCCGGTCGCTAAGCTTCAGCGAGCCCCAGCCGCCAGCACCTGCAGCGAAATCTCACCTGATTGTCACTTCTCCACCCCGGGCCCAGAGCGGAGCCAGGTGAGATGTCCACTGTTGTCCCCTGCCTTCTGGTTTCTGTGCCCTGTCTCCACTGGCAGGGACTCCAACCCCCCCCCACCCCGGTGAAGTCACCAGGGTTAGTCCCCAGCTGGAGGACGCACCGGATGGGACGACAGTTTGGTCAGAGAAGCCTCTCGGCCCTGGTCCTGGTGGCTTTTGCCGGGAGCTGCCCCTTCCGGCCTCTGCTTGTTCTCCCAGCTCAGTCCACCACCTGCGTGGGACTCCACTCGCGTTCCTCTCTTTCTGCAGGAAAGCCCGAGGGGAGGCCAAGAAGTGCCGCAAGGTGTACGGCATCGAGCACCGGGACCAGTGGTGCACGGCCTGCCGGTGGAAGAAGGCCTGCCAGCGCTTCCTGGACTGAGCCGGCCCGCAGCCTCTGCTCTGCCCCTGCGCTGCCGGCAGCCGCTGACAAGGAGCGGAGGGTCACCAGCTCTGGGCAGACGCCGAAAGAGAAAGAACGGCCGCGCAGAGCTTGGGCTCTGTTGGCTAAGGTGTAACACTTAAAGCAATTATCTCCCATTGCAGGAACATTTTATTTTTTAAAAAAAGAAACAAAAATATTTTTTTTCCCTCTAAAATAGGAGAGAGCCAAAACTGACCAAGGCTACTCAGCAGTGGAGCAGTGACCAAAGAATTAACTGCCCTCCGTCTCCCACGGCCCCCACCCCCGCTCTGGGGGTTTAGCTCGTGCGGAGCAAAAGAAGGAACGGCTCGTTCTGCTTCCTGCTGAGTCCGTGAATTCTTTGCTTTCTCAACTCTTCCAGAAAGGACTGTGCGCAAGATGCATTTACTTTTCTTAAAAAAAAAAAAAAAAAAAAAAAAAAAAGAGTTTCTGGCTGATGGGTGACTCAGAGTGCAGGAGTGCCTGGCCGGGGTGCGGAAGAGGGGTTTGCTCTTCTCGGAGGGTACCTCCTGCCCCCTGGCTGAGCACCCTGCACGGAAGTCAAAGGAAAGCCCTTTCTTGGTGACAGCGACTTAAATCTGGGTTCCTTCAGACATTGGGTTGCACCCCAACAAATATTAAATGGCTTCTTCTTAAAGCCCAGAGTAAGAGATTTTTTAAAAGACTGTCGCCAAGTAGCTGAGCCAAAAGGCTGATCAGAATTCACTTTTTGAAATGTGGCAGTGAAACACTACCTTGAGCATTCCCTCCTCTCGTCGAGGCAGTCCGTGAGGGTTTGAGCGTCTGGAAACTCTCTGCTCTGACCCGAGGAAGCGCCCTCCTGCCGCCGCCTCCCTCCGCTTGTGGAAAGGACACCTCAGAAATGCCGTGTTTTCTTTTCTGATGTATTCAGAAGCCTTTGCTGGTTCAAGTTTCCTTTTATTTCGGTGGCCGGGAGAGTCCCAGGGAGGTTCTGGAGGTTCCTTCCTGTCTCCTGGCCCTGCCAGGGATGTCCCCATTGCTGTGAGCTGCCTGAAAGCAGGATGAAGGCGGTCAAGGGGAGCCTTGCACCTGTGCGCTTCAGGATGCGGAAGTGACGGGAGGGAGATGTGGGTTTGGATCAGTGGCTGCTGGCATTTCGGCCCGTGGTGTTTCTGGAGCCTGCAGGGATTTATGGGGGACTGGGCTGCGTGCAGGTGGATGAGTGGAGCTGTGCTTGCGGAGAAGGAGGGAGGTCTAGGGAGCTTTGTGCGTGGAGACAGAGGGAGCCACGCCCGGACCGCGGGGCATGTTTCTGTTTTGGTGTCTCGCTTTCCTCCCAGTGTGACTTATTTGGGGATTCCTCAGGGCTCGCTGGAATGTAACAGCCTGCTGCCCAGCTGCCTTGGGAACAATTTCTGGCTTTATGTCCCAGCTGTCAGGGACTCAGGGGAGCCTACCCAGCCACCTCTCCTGGGACAGAGCGTCAGCATCCACCCCTGGGTTGTCATCCAGGCCGTTCTCCCGGTCCTGGGCGAAGATACCTGGACCACTGAGGCTCCCTCGGCCCCTTCATGTGGGAAATGGACAAGTGCTTTTTAAGGCGAGACACTCTGAGTGTTAAGAAATCTGTAGACCTGGCAATAGGTCGGGAAGGGTGTAGTGCCCTAGGTTGGTGACAGAAGAGACAGACACTTAGGCACAGGTGTCTTTGGTGACGGGGTGTATTTTTATAACTTAGCAGAAACACGTATGTGGACTTCTGTCTCTTGGTGAAGCTCAAAGCCAGGCTGGCCGAGGTGGCGCAGGGTTCTCCTTCCTGTCCCTTCAGCCTCCTTGAGAATTAAGAGCTGGCAGTCGGCGATGGCGTTTCCCGACACCCCTCACTTCCCAGGACTGCCCCCCCGCCCCCCGCTTCCAATCCTCACGGTGAGGCGAGGGAGCGTTCTTGACACGTGGGTACTTCACTCAGGAGGGCCTCCCCCTCCGCTCTGTCAGTGTTCACTGCCATCTCGTCTTTAGAAAGCTGTTTGAATTCCTCCTGCCCCCAGTTTGGACCGTGTAGATATAACTGGATATACGGATCTTTCTCTTTGTGAGGCCGTGGCTACACAGGGCAGGAGAGGAAGGAGGAGGAAAGGGAGGGAGCCTTCTGGAAGCCGCGGGGGTTTTGCTTTGTTCTTGTTCTTTGGTTCTGGTGCTGCCCTCTCCGCCTGTGCTCAAGCCCTCCCTCCTCCTCCTCAGCCGGCAGCCTCCCTGCCTCCCCTCTGCCCGCGCCGCCGTGCCGTGGCTGTCGTGCTGATTCTTCACACGTGCTCCTCTGTTCTCGGGGTTGCTCCATTCGTGTCTTCTTGGAGGGTGAGTCTGGCTGGGGAACCGACCCAGTGGTCATGCCTGTTTTCTTCATCTTTATCTCCCTCCTTTCCAGCCCGCCCGCGCAGTGGACGCTGATGGAAGGAGGATGCCGCGGGTGGGCTTTTAGAAACGAGCGGGACTGACTTTCAAAGCAGTTATCTTGGGAAACTGTTGATTGCAGCAGCGTGACTTTCTTCCGAACGTTTCTTGGAATCGCCTTCAGAGTCTGGGGCTGTGCGCTGAGCAGCCGTGAGGATGCCGGACACTCCTTTAGCACCGGGAGAGTCCAGCGAATGACGTCTGTGGCCAGGCGAGGTCCCAGGGGCAAAGCAAAAGGACCATTGAAAGTAAGATAGCTTGGATCGAATCATGTGACTTTTAAACTGGTTCAGAAAGCAATCTTGCCATTGCTTTCTGAAAAGTAATTACAAAAAGAAAAAAAAAGGTCAAAAAGAAAAAAAAGTGTTTTACGCCTCGGCCACACTGTCGTGAGTCTCTAACTTGAGTCCTTGGAGAACAACATTCAGATGTGGAGACTCTGATTTGTAGGAAGAAATCTGTGCTGTTACTTTCTGGTCATGCCAGGGGTTCTGATTTTACCAGGGGCAAAAAAAAAAAAAAAAAAAAAAAAAAAGAAGAGGGAGATAAATCCCATCTGTGAATTTGTCTTATTGGCGCCTTTTCCCTCAGCTGTCTTCCAAGTATTATTTTTACTGTTAAAAAATTTTTTTAAAAAATGTGAAATGTAATGGTTTTACAGCAACAATATGAAATATATTTTATAAGGAATAAAATGGTACCTTGTCTGATTTAACGTATGCCTGTCCATTGCCCCTTCCCCTGCAGAAAATAACATTCTCACTGTCCCTGTCCTTGGTGTCACACAGATGGTAGCATGTCACACTGAAGCAAAGCATGACGTCGATTCGCTTATACTGACGGTAGGTAACGCTTCCCAGTGACTAGGCTGAGCACGTCCATGGGTTACCTGTTATATATAACCCATGAGAGAGGGCTCTCATCATTCCATTTTGCAGATGAGGAGAGTAAGGCACAGAGGTTAAATAACTTGCCCAGTGTTGTAAACCGGGAAATAATGGCACTAGGATTGTAATCCATGCAGTCAGTGTTTTCTGCTGCTTTTCTTGAAAACGGGGAGCATATTCTTGACTGCATTCCTGAGTCTTTTGAGCAGCAAGCAAGTGACACGGGAGAAAATCAGTCACACACTACCTATTGAACATGGTCTGCTCCATCCAGACGTCGGTTCCAGGTGCTGCGATGGCCCAGGTGGCTGGCAGAGCTGGCCTGGGCGGGAAGGTGTCCTTCCACCTGGGGCTGGTTTATGCAGTTTCAGCTGCGGAACTTTGAGAACCACTTAGTGAAACAATGACAGGTTCCAAGAAGACCAAGTCAGGTACACCAGGCTTGCTGGAGGAAGCTGTGGAAATGTGTTTAAACGTTCAAGGTGTATATGAAATTAGTTCAAGGTGCTGGGGGGTGGGGGATGGGCAGGCGGGAGGCCTGCCACGATCCTTTCTGCACCTTTCTGCACCGAGTTGTCTTTCTGGTCGGGAGAGGCAGGAGCTGTGGCAACAGGCTCTGGGGAAGAGGGAAAGCAGGGAGGGCGTGAGGAGCTTTGGGGAGTGTGAATGGCTTGGGGTGGATTGCAGGGATCCCTTATCTTGCTGGCCAGTGAGGGTGTCACGCTCTGAGAAGTTGCAGACACTTCATTATGGCCTGAGCCGGCCACCCCCAGCAGCCTGGGAAGCAGTTCGTCTTTTCCGTCCTTTGTGCCTTTTTGCATATCTTGGGGTTGCAGTGAGGGACTTCCTTCTCCCCTTCTCTGTGTCCTTGTTCCAGCTCATCCCTCTAAGAAGGCCTTAAATAGAGCGATCTGTTCTGCATTTGCCAAAGCACTCCCCACCCCCGAAGTTAGCTACCTGCTTTCTCCATTTGCAGCTCACCCCCAGACCCTACCTTTGCAGCTGCCTCAGTGGGTCGACCCCCCCAACTTTCCAGCTTCTGGTTGGGTTTGGCTGGAGTTTGACAGTCAGGAGATGGAAGTGGGGTGTTGAATCCTGGCTGCCACAGTGTGTGAGTAAGTGGCTGGATTTCTCTACTGAAAGCTCCGGAGAGCTAGAGTCCTTGTGGGTCCAGGAACTCCTTTCCCTCTCCCGGGGCTCCCCAGCTCCCACCAGAGCACCCTCCATCCCTTGCTGATCTTCTGTAACCCTGCCCACTTGTGTAGATGGTTAAGTCTCTGACAGACCCGGTCTGGGGTTGCCTGGTGTTTCTTGGCTGGACTCCGACAGTGGCTCACCCTGACGTGTGAAGCTGGAGATCGAAGTGGCGTCAGCAGGTTTCTCTCTGCTGTTCCTTGCTGTGCATCCCAGTCCACTGGGCCCAAACCAGCGGGGTCAGCACCACCTGGAGCTTGTTGAAAAGGCAGATTTCTACCATCTGAAACGGGGTGGGGCCAGCAGCCTGTTCCTCTGTGGTGCTGATGGGCACAGGGGTGTGAGAGCCCTGCCCTCTCTCCGGCCGTCCATTTACGCAGCCGTGTGCATTCATTACCTCACCGGCTGCGCTGGGATCTGGGCACTGTGTGCTTTTTACCTCTGCCCCTTGGGAGCTGCAGCGCTCTGTGTGTGTGTGTGTGTGTGTGTGTGTGTGTGTGCGCACGCGCACACAGTGTCTGCTTGCAGCGCTGGGTGTGTGTGCGTGCAGGGTCTGCTTCCGTCACTTAAAAACAACAAACCAGTTTATTAACCATTTGCTCAGTAGAAGTTTAATGGAGAAATCATTGTTTAAAACAATCAGTCAAAAAGAACAGCTCTTTTACAAATAAGTTATGGCAGTGGTGAGTCAAAGCCCCAGGTTCGATTTCCTATTCCTTCCACCTGCCCCTAGAAGGGGGACGAGGTGGGTGAGCAGGAGAGACCGGGCCATCGCAATGGTAGCTGGAGGAATTACAAAAATACACTCTGATGTAGCAACAGGGCTGTGGTGAAACATGCCGGGGGCTGGGGAGGAACAACCAGACGGAGAGGTTCTGGAGGCGAACGAAGCCTGCTGGGTCTGCAGGTCCTCAGTGCCTTGGGGAAGAAGGAATCCTGGTTCCCAGGCGGCAGGTCTGGGGCTGGACACATGCTGTTTGGGGGATCACCTGGACGCCTGTGGAGACAGAATAATTACAAAATAGCAAACCTGTTGGTTTTCCTGAACATTTTCTATTCCCCCTAGAGACTGAAGCAGTGAAAGGGAGGCAAAGAAAAGCTATCAACCCAAAGAAACTGTTTCTAACATAGCCAGAGGGGTCCTCCAGCTCCTCCACGTCTGCTCTCCAAGCCCCAGCACATTGGCCGGACTAACACACTAAAGGGGAGTCCACGGGCCGTGAAAGGCACAGTGACAAGCCCCTCCTGGGGAACAGCTCTCCCTGGTGTTCAGAGCCCATGCGACATAGCGTCCTTGTTCTATAGTCCTTTTTTCCCAAGTGCTCTTTGAGCCTGATGGCACCGATACCTGAGCATGAATGAATGTGCTCAGTTTCCACTGCCCAGAAGGGGCACCGCCTGAGGGCAGCAGAAAAGAGGAAGGCAGTATAGGGTCAGGGGAAAGGAAGGCA